AATATTTATTTAACTTAAGCTGAGATTTGTAACCATTTTGAAAACATTCTATGATATAATAAAAGTAATTGATTTGAACTCAAACTGGGTTTCAGAAAGAAGTTTTGCTCTGCAGCTGCATAGATTACCTACCATAACATATAATGAATAAAGTAGCTACAGAATCCCTAATTGCAGTAATGCCACTTTCCATCTGCAACATCGTCAGAGATTGTCTTGTTCTGACATAACATGGAAACACTGCTCCACCCTGAAGCCGTTCTGTAGCTCCCTTACTAGGGAGAGAACTGTAAGATAGAGGTGATGTAAGGATATGCCCTTAGCAAAAAGGATGTGGAAAATCTTGCACTGGGGCAAGGATATTGTAGTGGTAGATTTTAAGTTAGCCTTGCAAATTACTTGGGAAGGCCCTGAAATTACACAGGATTATAATCTTGGGCTCCAAACAAACAAAATAAAAAATATTGGAATTTCCTGTGCCTTTTGGCTGCCATCTCATAATTGTCAGTAACCCAGATACTGTATCATATGACACCATTTTAAAATCAAATTACATTCCCAAAGTCTGTCTTTAAGTCAAATTCATATGTAAGCCAGAACAATACCATTGTATAATATAGTATAAATAATACTGTGTAATGAACTTGAACTATTGCATATTTAACTGGAAGTATTGTGTATTTAATTTTGCTACAGTAGGCTCCATTCTTAATTGTGAGTCATCCTTAAACCAGGGTGTTCTTAATCCAGGGACTTGATGAATGTTTACAGTTAGACCTTCATTGCGCAGCATCTATTCCAATCTTAAGAATCTAACCCTTTTCATGTAATTCTCATTTAAATCCTATTTAAATTCAATCTGAAAACATTTAAAGATATCTGTTAGCCCCTTAAATCATCTGTACCAGAAATAAAATGGTAGCATCTGCAGTCCCTACTCTATTCTGCCTTCTTTGTTCTCAGACTTGAAATAAAATCTTGTTATATTTTTTTTCTCTTCTCTCCATTGCTTTGACCTCAGATTTGCGCTTCTGTTGTTGATAGTAAATGGCAGGCAGTAAATCAACAAAATATGGCTGTAGTAAATATATGCCTTCTCTCAGAGTTTTCAGTAAGCTGGTGCCCTTTAATGTGTTGGGGGTACAACACTCTGAATTTTCCTCAGAGTAATTTATGAAAGGGAATTCTCTAGGGGCTAGTTGATGGTTGACAAAATATATGAAGTAAGGCATTGTTTTTTAATGGAAAATGTTATATCTGAGTTATCTGTCTTATCAGAAAACATATACTTTGTTTTTCATAAAGAGGGGAAGGGAAAAGCTAGTTTAATATTATCATGTCATCCAAAAGGAAGACTGTACATTCCTCCCACCTACTGACTGCTGTGTGACTAAACAATTCCTTCTACATTCAATTTCCTTGTGTAAAATAGAGGTCAAAATGATCTGATGTAAGTTGAATGCACATCAGATGCTAGGGTGCATGAAATCATCCAGTTTCAACAGATAAAGCTTTGCTTCAAAGCCTACTGTTTTCTGTTGTTTTTGTATTTTTCTTACAGAGAACTAGATAATCAAGTTAATTTGTGATTAATTAAGTGGTTAATTTCTTTAGCATTGTGTAATGTACAACATTTTTCATGTTTTACAGTATGTCACATTCTACCTATGTATATATAAATTTGAGCTTGGAACTTGGCATTATGGGTTTTTTCTTCCTGTTTCTGACTCTATTATGTATTTGTTAGCTAAGGTGGAGAAATTGTCATTTGCCCTTGTTATTCTTCTGGACATAGTAAAAAGCCTAAATGGACAACTATCAAAAGTAAAGGTGCCATCACTGTTGGGAACGTTAAATCATGTACAATATGCAGCCAACTTAGTTCAAAGTTGAACTATGCTGGTATCATCTCTGGTTTTTGGTCATCCTCTGCATCACCAGGCAGAAGTAAACATAACTGAATTTGCAGAACTTATTTGCAGGTAAGAATGTACAGTATATGATTGCAGTCCTTAAGAAGGATCAGGATTAGGACCTGTGAGATTTAATTCATGTTAAGTTTCTCCCATGCAGTTCAAACAGCTGGGACAAAAACACATTTCTTCTGTCTCTGAGGATTGTTGTAATCTAATGCCACAATATCTAATACCATAGTGTCTCCTCCCTCTCCCCTGAGTGATATGCTCTCCAACCATTCTTGGGTCAGCAGAAAACTATTCAGACATTTGCCGCCCATCTTGCTAAAACCATATTTTGCCTCAATGTTACTGCAATCTCCTAATTTTTTTCCTAAAATAGTAGGACACAAAACTGGATGGATTTTACACAGCTGTAAAAATCAGGCTGTTCTTGAATAGTCCCCCTTGCAGTGAAGGAGTAGGGCAGGAAGAGAATGCAGGCATAGATAAAGACTTCTTGAACATGACTCATTCAGGACTATGAGATGAAGACAGTGTCATGGGGACATGACTGAAAAATTTTGGAACTGCAGCATGTGCATTTCAGGGTTAGGTGCAAGCAGGAAAGGCCTCAAATTCCATGTTAGGCATTACTTGTATTGCAGACATCACACTTTAATAAGTTTACTTTGAATGTTGGGTTTTCTTTCTTTTCTCTATTTAATTTTTGTAATGAGTTCTGCAAAGACTTATCTATACTGTTGTATTATTATTTATTTATTTAGTATCACCCAGATCAGAGGTGGTATTCAGCAGGTTCTGATCAGTTCTGGAGAACCGGTAACGGAAATTTTGAGTAGTTCGGAGAACTGGCAAATACCCCCTCTGACTAGATATTTTACCATATCCTTCCCCTGCCACGCCCATCAAGCCACGCCCACAGAACCGGTAGTAAAAAAAAATTGAATCTCACCACTGACCCAGATATTGATTTTCATTTTTTTTCCTGCATAGATCAACATAACTAGCCCTCTGTGTGTGTGTGTGTGTTCATGAAAATAAATATTTGCAATGTAATATTTAATATTAATATTCTGACAGAGGGAGGTTCTGCATTTACTTTAGAAAACCAAATATAAACCGAAGAAACTTCATTTGTAAGATCCCCTTTTGTGATCACATAAAAGTCATTGACCAAAAAGTACATGATTTGAATATTCAACTCTCCCACCCCCAAATCCATGGGTTCAAGAGAATGAATCTAAAGTGAATTTTATCCAGACTGAGCATAGTTGTTTAGCTTTGAAGATGCTGTGATTCATTTTCACTGAAAAGGATGTGTCTCCTTAAACTTAATATTTCCCTATTTCATATTGAATTAGTCCAAGTGAAATTAGCACAACTTTTGTAGAACCTCCCTCCATAATAATAAATGATAAATATAGGGGATCAAGCAGCTCTGCAAATACCTATGTCAATCTGACAGACTGATTTCTGTGTTCAATATAAGATTATCTTGTTTCAGTTCACTGATAGTGGGAGTTTGGGGGGTTTTTTTCTTTTCTTTTTTTGGAAATGCTAACTGAAATAGAATAAAATTGCATTTGATACTATACTTCAGATTAAAGGCTTTCTACCTATTTTATAGATGCAGGCTGAAATCATACATTTGCCTTGTAGTAAATTCACTGTCAGTCACACAGATTTTGATGTTCATGATAAAATTTTTGTATCGTTTAGTACCATCCGGGTTGCCAAAATCTCAGTGACCATTAGATGACAGGATACTGAAAAAAACCCTCTCCAGATACTTGCACTCTAGACATGGGGAGTTATAAATAAGGCCCTGCATTTTGAATTTCTAATCAGTGGTTACTCACATTTCCTACTGATAACCTGTTGTCTATACATTTTAAGTTGATCGTGAACATTCTGCCCAATTCCAGAGCAGTCAATCCTGCTGATGAGTAAATTATGTTACTCAATGAGATTTACAGCAGTCTACTAGTAATCCAAAACGCAGTTTCAGTATATCTCAGAGATTTCATATTTTGCATCATATCATCTAAACATTCCAAAAGGTGCTTCTTTATTTGAAATGGAATGCATATTGAAAAATAAATCACATTTCTCCAAACTTTGAACTGTATTTACATACATTGGTTTGATACATTGTTTCAGCTCAGAATGCCCAAAATTACATTATGGCAACTAATCAACAAAAGCCAGTATTTGCATCTGAGGTTACTTTTTAAATTAACAGACTTTTTTTTCCAGAAGATAACATAAAAAACATGAGATGATATCCTTTGTGCTAGAAACTTAAAATAATGTCATTTGTATTATTGAAAAGCAGATATATGACACAGAATATTATTTTTCACTTGTTTGCAACATTCACTTGTTTGCAACATTTTTCACTTGTTTGCAACATTCACTTGTTTGCAGTATAAAGGCTATTTTCTCTAGAATCTCAGGTAAGCACCATATAAAAAGGGTAAAAATACCTAAATATATGTATGCAAAACATCTGCTGTTACTAGTTCACAAAACTTCCTCTTAATTCTGGATCAGTTTATATAAAAGGAGTGTGTGTTAAAAATTAATGTTTTTGTATTTGTATCATAAAAATATGGCAGCATCTGGTTGATCTTTTTAGGACCTGGGAAGTAAGTAGGTAGAATGTAGCTAGTTCTTGGGCGAGAAGTAAAATAACCCAGAAGTTCCATAGAGTCCAGTAGGGGTTCTGGTGGTGCAGAGGTTAGACTGCAGTATTGCAGTCTAATTCTGCCGATTGCCAGCAACCTTGATCCTGACCAGCTCAAGGTTGATTCAACCATCCATCCTTCCGAGATCAGTAAAATGAGAATCCAGATTGTTGGGGAAATATGCTGACTCTATAAATTGCTTAGAGAGGCTGTAAAGCACTATGAGGTGGTATATAAGTGCTATTGCTATAGCTATCTCCCAGATATGTAAATATAGTTACTTTTCCTAAGTAACCATCTGTGGACATATGAAATATAAAATATTTCTTCATAACATGAGATTTTTGCTTAAATATGCAATCCTATACATGTTTGAAAGAGCTGTGCATGCTTTCATTGTCTCTCTGCTACTAATGCCATATCTTTTTTAGACATCCATGTAAGACTGAAAAAAGATGCAGATGCTTTAAGGAGTCAACTTATTAAAGCAGCTGTTAAAACAGCATGATAGCATGAAAAGACAATGACGACTTTAATGAACAGCAGAAAAATGTTCACACAAGATCCAAAGTACTTATGAAACATTTTCAAAGTTTGTAGAGCCTAGAGGTAACGTCTACTGCTTTCAAAGTGTTGTAGGATTGCAGATTAAATTTACTGTGTTGGAACTGCAACATCTAGGAGAGGGCTCTTTTTAAAAAACCTATTGTACTTTTGAACAAAATTGATAATGAAGTATCCTATGTTGGAGGAGATAAAGGAAGCTATTTTATGTACTTTATTCTTAGAATCCCGTAAGATTGAAAAAAAGCAAAGAAGTACCTCAAAAAACAGGAAACAGGATGTCTCGCTTAATGACCATCACTTTGTCAGACAGCAACTGTAATGGGCAGTCTCTGTTATGGCTGTAAGTCAAAGACTAACTCTATTTTAGATATACAGAAACAGATACACACACAGGCCTACAAAATGATGATAAATTCTTCTCAGTCCCTTAATTACTTTTTAAGTTCAGCTGCACCTTTTATCTCAGGTGCCATGATTATAAAATAACTAAGTAGTAATTTCTACTACACTCAATTGAAAGATATCACCTAGACTAGATTCCAATTAAGAAAACTAAGGATAATTTTTCTTACTACTGTGGCCATTTCAGTCTGAAAAATAAAACACTGCAGATTTGCGGAGCATTATGTGATATGTTGTTATCACTTCAGTAGATATCCCCATTATCAAATATGACTTGATATAGAGTTTTTCCTCTGGACTGTAATAAACTAAGAAGTTGGAGATAAACTCTTATTTTTGTATACTTAAATATTGAAGTGCAAGTGCTTAAACCAATCACAATACACTCAATATATATTTAATACTTTAGTCCAAAACCTTCTAAAACATACTCAGGGATGGAAAAGATATTCTTTCATTGATAAGACAGAAGGAAGCCAGAAATACTATTGTCCTTCCCATCTATGTTAATTTCAAATCTTAAATATAAGTATTGAAATATCTACTTATGATAGCCCGCTTGTCATAATTTGGTCACATTTTCCCCAAATATAAGATTGCACCTATCAGAATGACTATAGTTGCAATTCTTATACCTGGTATTTTTGTACAAGTGAGCTTTTTGAATTGCCCATTAGCTACATTCTCAACTGGAGAAGTGTAGAAGCTAATACTTTGTCATTTCTGTAGGGCTAGAGTAAGAACTGAAACTTTATAGAGACCTTCCATAGTTTATCAGGATAAGAATGTATAGAACTGCACACAAATGTTTAATATTTCAATATTTAGACACCGTGCTGTGTCTAATTTGACTTTAAGTAGATCATATAGAATTTTATTTCATGAAAAACAAAATAGATCTGGAAGATTACACATCCTTCAAAACAGAACATCCAGATTGAAAAGCATAGCATATATTACTTTAGTAATTAGTAATTAGGAAATATTATATTGTAAATGAATAGCTCAAGGGCTTTGATTCTTAAAAGGGTTTTAGAACTCTTCTGTTATATTAAGATTCCAAATATCCCAGGACAACCAGAATATTCAATTAAGCTGACAAAAATAAATGTAACATAGTTTAAATATTCAATTGGACATTATTATGTATGGGTTTATTTAAATATCTGTTCAAAGAAAAATAATTTTGATTATAAGTGGTATGAAAAATATTGCGTAAGACATGACCCCTCCAAAAAATGATAGGAAATATTGGTAAAATTATCTAATTAAGTACTTTAAGAAATTATATATAAAACAATGTGGTAAGGAGTTTGCAAACAGAAAAACATAAATCAAGTAAAACCACAGTAAGAAATATTATAGGCTAGGGACAAATTTAAATGAAGAAGTGCAATGAGTTGTCTTTAGTATGCTTCTTCCAACAAATTTCATATAAAAAAGAACATAACTTTTTAATAATATTATTCTGGTAAGTCACTCAATTATGATTTTCTGCTTGTGAAGTAAGGATATGAAAACTGGTATAACTCAGGGGTGTGTCACATGCTGGCCACGCCCACACCCGGTTTAATGAAGAGGAAAAAGTCCCAATATGTCAGTGACGACAAGTTTGACACTCCTGGTATAACTGATTACTACTGATTACAATGTAAAATACCACAAGTTAGATGACTGTTGAATAAACAAAACAATCCAGAACTTTAATTCAAAGCCACTGCTTTCTTTGGAGTGGGTTATTCTCATTATTTAGAATATTAGTACAATGCTTCAATATAGCAAGATACATTTCATACATTCATTTCATAACAGCCTTCCACGTTTTGAGATGAAAACTGTTGCAAAGCAGTATGTAAAAGCTATATGAAAAGTTTGTATCTTGGTAAATTCTTCATCATTCTGTTTTCTTCTTGCTTCAGTTTCTTCCTCCCTCTACAGCAGCATATACAATTCACCAAAGCAAGTATTTTCTACACTCATTATCACTTGGATGATCTACATTCAGAAGTAACCTGAAAACTTAATATCCCCACTAATAAATATACATACAAATAAAATGTAGTGGAATTTTAAAACTGACAGTGCGAGATATGTCTTTTGAGGTCAAATATGCCTTTCCTAAGTTTAAGCAGTAGCCCAAACCCAGAACAGCTGAAGTACTTCTCTAAAGCAACCACAGATGATGTCAAAACTGGACAAAATCCAGGGGCTGAACTGATGCTCTTGTACTCGTCCTCCTCTACTTGGCCAGCCTTTGATCACTGTTCCTCTTACTTCCAGAAGCGCCTCTTGAATTTGATCTATAACAACACACACAAAATATGATCTGAGTAACACAGCAGCATTCTGTGCTTGCAAATTACAAACAAACCTATTGCTTGTTCTTTTAAATGCAATACTGCTGACGAAATGAAAAGTTTCTCCTTCACAATATTTTCAAAAAAAAAAGAGCATGTTAGCAAACATCTTGCAACAAATTGCATAAGTCGTCTTAAACTTTAGTTAAGACTCTCACTGCTCTCAACACATCCCTATTACAATACTGTAAAGCACACAATCACCAACTGGTTTGGGTCTCATTGCTGGGAAGTCACAGATGATTACGTGCCAGTCACCAGAAAACTCTAATTTACAGAGAACATATTCGTAATTGCTGCTTTACATGAACAGGTTGCCATCCCAGATGAGAGACCATTCATGTAACATACTGAATTAATTAATCTCTCATTCTTTCTACTCATTTTTCAACCCTAAGGTTTCGGGGGGAATTATTTGTAGGTGAAAAAAAAATCCAAGTAAAGATTTGGTATTGTATGAAGCAGGGGAGAGGGGAATCAAGGAATCACAAACAGGACCCCTCTCTTTCCTTACCCCAGTGCCTGAATTCAACAGTATCCATAGTACATACAGACCATAATGGAGCCTGCCAATCATAGCTATAAATCATAAATTGGATCACCCTCTGACTGACCTGATTTTGCTACCTTTTTTGAAGTGGTTAACAGAACACCATGGTTACAAAGCAAACATTGTGGTCATTAAGTGAATCCATTGTTTGCTATGGAACACTTTTGCCAAAAACTGAAAATGCTGTTTTTCAGCATGAACATCACAAACCATGGTCACATGACCGCAAGACACAGCAAATGGCCATAAATGTAGGCCAGTTGCCAAGCACCATGTGACTATGTGGAGAGGGGGGAACCAATGGAACTTTGGAACCAGGTTGTAAATACCATTTGGGTGCTTTGGCGTAACTTTGACTGGTTGTTAAACACCAGGTTATAAGTCAAGGACTACCTGTATACTGCAAGAGGATCACAAGAAGCTGATTAAGAATTGAATTATTCAGTTTAGTTTTAAACACAAGAATCTGCAAAAGACAGTTATCCAATTTTCCAGCAAATGCAGTCCTTGTAACTCCTTACTTTTTGCAGGATACCAAACCAGGGCTTGTAGGAAAAGATATAAAGTCCATGCAGGGCCATTTTCCCCCCACGTGCTCTTATTATTACCCCACATGCCTCTGCATATGTACGGAGTATATGTAAGAAAGCTCCTACACGTGAAGATCAGGGACAAAATGGTCTCGGGTGAGTGGAGTCTCTCCTTCCCCAGGTGTCGGTCGGAAAAGCAGCAGCTGCACAGCAAAGGTGGGCGCTCCTGCGGAACAAAAGAGGCTTCGAGCTGCTGCCGCGCTTCGCTTGTTTGTTTTGTGAGAAGCTCCCCTCCGAGGGAGCGGGGAGAGCTGGAAGGGGGAGAGGCGGGGTGGGGGAGAGAAGCTCCCCCACCCCAGCGCCCTTAAGTGGCCGAGGCCAAGTGCGGCGACTGCGGGCACAAGGCGGGAAGCGGGCAAAGCGAGTATACCTGTCGGGGCGGCCCGTCTAAGCGGAGTTGGAGGCGCTCCGGAGGCGGGGTCCGAGCTGCTGGACGAGGAGGTGTTGCTGCTTCTGCCGGGTCGACCTGACCGCCAGGATGGCCTGCCGGTTTTTGTACTGCACGAGTTGCAGCGTGATCTCGGCGTTCCAGCCTTGATCCTGCGGGCACCGAAAGTCGATCTCCTTCCCCTCGGCCATCACTACCGTGAAATACATGTACTTGCCCTTCCGTTCCACGCAGTCCACCGTCTTCATGGTGGAGAAGGGCAACTGCTTGATCTTGGCGGCGGCCACCGCCCTCTCTCCGTTGGCAGGAGAAGAAGTCGCCGCCGCCACCGCCGGCGGCTCCTGCTTGGGCGGGATAAGCAGAAGCCCTTCCTCGGTGAGGATGCAACGCTTCTTCTTCCAGAGCTGCAGCAAGCCGTCGCTGCGTTTCTCCAGCACGCCCTCTTTCACCGGCTTGCCGCCGCTCTCCAGCATCCTCCCGCCGCCGCCGCCGCCGCCGCCAAAAACTTCCGAAAGGAGTGAAAAGAAAACGCGCTCCTGACAAGCGGCGCACAGATGAGCGGGATTTCCCGGGACGCGCCGGAAAGGCTTCGCCTTCTGCCGAACGACGGCCAGCGTTAGCCGCGCGGCTTCTGGTCCCGCCGCCGGTCTTTCCTCAGAACCGCTGGAGGAAGCGCCTTCCGTCCCCCTCCTGTTGTTTTTGAAAGCGGCTTTCTCATCTCAGCGGCACAAGGTTTTGGGGAGGGGGGGCGGGGCGAAGGAAAGGCGGGGCGGGGCCTGCCGAGGAGGTTGGCCGAGGAAAGCCCGGCCGTTTCGTCCCCGCCTACCCGGCTCGTGGCTCCTTTCTCCTTTCTCCTTCTGCCCTCGGAAGGAGGTTCCCAGTCTCAACAGCGCCAAAGAACAAAGCCTTCCTCCGGTGGAAGCCGTGCCGTTCTCACTCCTGGAACTCAGGAGGCCCCTCCGGCCAACTTGAGGCTGGAGAAAGGCCACTTTTGAGCTATCACTGACAGCGGCAGGGTGGCGTCTTCAGGGATGCCTGAACCCAACACGGAAAACCTTCTTCCCCGTTTATTGGTTTGTGTTTGTGTTGTAATTATGAGAAGTGCCTAATGTGATAAAAACAAACCCAATCCTTGCCTGCTACTTGGATGTCATTCATACGAGCTAAAAAGCATCCACTATATAGGATTCAAAACCTAAAATGAACATTTACTTCCATTTCTATTATAGACTAACAGCCAAGTTATTTCACACTTGGTAATAAATTATAGCATACACACAGCAGTGCTATGCAGCATACACATAAGTTATTTAAGGGGAAAGAGACTTTACTCATTATTGTTTAGAAGTCTACAATTGCAAAATGCTCATCACTGCTACCTTTGATGCTAAAACAATTCCCATTGCTGATGAAATAGACAATCTTCCTAGTTCTATAAATATGCAATATACTTATTTTGTATTTATTTTGCCTGAACATCAAAATAAAGTCCTGAGAAACAAAACTGTATGTACCTCAGTAGGATAAGATTACATTTCAGAATGCTGATGTAAGAATCTCCAGGCTTTAAAATTTCCCTACTTGTTTCCTCACTCTCAGTAATGCCATCTTCCCCTGAAAATGGGCCCATTTTATTCACTGATGGGTTATTCGGAAAAAACTAATTAGTGTAGATTAAAAATGCCATAGCTGAGCAGCCATATTCTAGAGGACATGTATAATAAGGTCATATTAGTAGTACTTAATCTGGATGAATTATCTAGTCATTTCGCAACCTAAACAAGCTCAGAACCAGAGTATAAACCTCTTCTTTCTCTTTCCAATTACTAATTCAATATCTAAAACTTTCCTCTTATGCCAAGTATATGAAATATTTTGAGAAGAATTTTTGGAAACAGAACCTATGAAGTTACCCTTTGCCAACATCTGTTCTATAGTTGTAACAATAGCCCATGATTGAAATAGGAAAATATCCTCCTCAAATCATTTCTGCCATCTAGTTGGCCCATTACTTCAAAATTGTCTTTTAATAAAGACCTACAGTAGCTGGACACAAATCATTCATTTGCTCTGTACTACATAGAAAATAAAGATTATTAACCAATGAAATTCTTCATGGAAAAAATAGGCTTTTAACAGATTTCTAAAAACTAAAGATTCTAGAAAGAAGTGGTAGCTAAGCAGAAAAGCTGCTAAAAGAGAAATGCGGATCACAGTACTGTAATTGAGTGCATAATTCAGAGAATTTTTTTAAAATGAAGAAATATTGAGGATAAGAAATCAGTATAGTTTGAAATAGAAATCACGTGCTCCAAGTAACATGATTATTTTATAGCAGCAGAATCCAGGACAATTATAATGCTGGGTTCAGGCGGATTTTCACAGAAAAAGCCCAGAAATGGTTAAAGACATGAGATTACTGGAATTTATTTGTGAGTTTCTGCAAAATAAAGGGCTATATTTTGGCTTTGTTAACTACAGGGAGAAAAGGGAAGGGAAGAAATAAAAGATAACACATTGCTACTTACATATGGATGGAGGCATCTGAGTATTTGCTGTTTTTACCTATCATTTAACTACATAAATAGCACAGCTGAGATTTCCAAACAAATCTTGAACCCAATTCTTGTGTCTTGAAACTCTTGTGTAAATATATTTATTTAAAAATATTTTATGGTGTGTGTGAGAGAGAGAGGGGGTGGAGGGGAAGGAAACCATAAGAACATTGCTTGTTTTTATGGGAAGCTCCTAGATTTAAAAATATAGATACCCAAGCCTGCAAACAGAATTGGGTACACTTATCCAAATTTCCTTACAGATCTTATCTTTTATTATGGCATATATTTGAAAGCCTTTGGTTATTCATTTTTAATAACCTTTTTGGAAATATAAAAAAGCTTTGACTTATTTGACTTATGCTCGCTCTTAGTTCCATTTTACCATTTACTATTTTCTTGAATTTATGTGCCTATTCTTTCTGCACGCAGTCTGTCCTCTTTCCCCATGTAACTTTTTGTGTTTTGGCTTCCCATTGTGTTTTGGCTTCCCATTAAAATCAGAAACCATTATAAACCATCAAGGTCAGCAACAACAGATTTCAATAATGTGGCTAACTTGGGGTATATGTTCCATCCTGCATCTCAATATTGGGCCAATGTAAAATTCTGTTTCATGACTTCCCATTCCCGTGCTTCAACAGGCTGGAAACAGTATTAAGAATTCTTGTGGAGGTAGACAACCTTGTTTGCATCGGTTTGCGACCACATTCATTGCATACCAAAAGATCCCTGGTCTCCTCAGAGATGCTACCAGATGTTTACAAACAAATATCAAATGCTGAACTGACAATCTGGAAAACTAGATTCAAATTCACTTCCATCATGGAAATTCATTAAATGACTTGGGCCAAGACCCTATCTAGGATAACAGGATTGCAATTATTTGAGTGGAGTAGAATGAGGCAGAATGAAAAATGCCCCTAAAATTTTTATCACTTCAGAAAGCAGACCCATCTAACATTCAGAGAACTCTATTTCCATTATGTGAAGAAATGGAAAGCTGCTACTTCAGATAAATTATGTGCACAAAGTCTATGCCTGCAGTTTTATTTGTAAGATCATTAATAGTTTTGACTAATATACATGGAACAGTATTATTTTTACCAGCTTTTCAACACTACTGTATCAAGATAGTTTAATAAGACAGTGTAGAACATGTACGCCTCCTAGTGTCAAGCTTAACTGCACGCACATTTCTGATTTGCTTAATAAGATATACTGTGTTTTAATCATGCAACTAAACCATGCAAAAATTTCTTAGCAATTTTTCCTTGAACAAATAATCATTTAAGAAAACACAACCATTTAAGAAAACTTTCAATATTCTAGTCAATCTTAAATGGAATTTTAGGGTCATTTTACTTCTTCATACTCCCACAAAAAGACAAAACTGTAACTCAAGCCATTCAAATATGACATTTCAAGCTATTTAAAATATTTGAAATATTACATGATAACCAAAGGGCATAAAATCAAACTGAAAAGTGAATTACTCCCCCACCCCCGAGGTCTGGGGTGGCATCTCAGCTCTCAGATATGGCATCTTGAAACCACTTGCATACTACTGCATGGAAAACTTTATTATATTTGTATTTCAATCAATGCCTTTGGGAATGCAAGCTGAGATGATTAATACACAGTACAATGTTAAACATGACACTTCTATGAATCTGAGTGTTTATGCATAGTTAAAAAATGAATAGAGATGCAAAATTCCTATCAGTACTCCATGACACCTTGGCAGAATTATCAGCTTCCAAGCATTACTACAGGTTGCTAAATGTTCCCATTATTGCTGTCAGAATTTCTATTTACTACTTTTCTTTGCAAAAATGGTCTGACTCAAAAATATTCTTTGGGCCCCTTGCATTTATTGCTTAAAGTTCCTCAGATTTTCAACAATATTTTAATTTGGTGACTATGTCAGCCATTCAAAGCTTTTCTCTCCCTTCTGTATTTCAGTTGATTTGAAGGCTATGTTTCAGATCACTGCCTCACTGAAATATCCATTCTTTTTCAGCTTCTCTTTGATCAACAGCAGCTAGATCTTCTCATGCAAATATAGCAGTTCCAAGTGTTTTGTCAGATTCTGAGATGGTAATTGGGCAGTGTTGTTATTACTTACATTGGTAATTGAGAGTGGAACATTTGAATTTACAGAAAAACACAAGGTTGGTCAATCTTCTGTTCCCTTGAATGTGCAATGATTTGACTATGCTGAACAGAGCTATTATGCTTAGAAAACTTAAAGCTCCACTGCAGGGCGCCCAGAGCACATTTCATTTAAAAAAAAAAAAAAGACAAGCACATCTATCACAAACACACATTTTCAAGTTTATTGCCAAAGATAAAAAAGGTTGCTATTTTTTTTTATCATTCCTCCCATACATGTCAGAATGGGAAGACATTTGTTTCCTCAATAACCTTAACTGTTCCACAGATGTATTAATAAAACGTATCACATCGTAGGATCCCATTATCTGAACCTGGATCTTTTTTTAAGGCTTATGGTTTCCATAATTTCTTCCACAAGCCACGCTAACAGTTTCTAGGTGATTTCTATCAATGGCATTGCAATCAGAAGTACAAAATGGGATTTTAAAACTTCCAGAGCACTAAAATGTCACATAACTGGATGATCAGTACTTGGGTAGGATACCAATAACAGACCCAGATCCTAAGAAACTGAAAACAAAAAATCCCAAAAGATTATAAAAGTCCCTGAGAAAGGCAAGTCATAATTACTGACAATTTAGTGTTTTGACATGGAAATTCTAATTTACTGTACTTTGTTTCAACACTGTTGTAACGAAAGTCTTGTTTTTCTTACAATGTTGCCATCATTACTAAGATTTACTTTCATCAGTAACAATCTTCCTACAAAACAACCAGCTATAAGTCAAATTTGGGCCATACAGATCATCAGAGAAATAAAAATTAGTACTTTTTTTTCTATCAGATTGGGTAGATTGTGAAATTGAGTGTGTGTTTTAATAACTAATCAGATATTATTTTATGAGGAATGGCTTACCTAACCAATGCTTCTCCAGAAGCAAAGGTCCTTTCCAAATCTGTTTACATTCAAAACAGATACAGGGCAGCTAAGCTTTC